CCCCCGCTTCGGTCCTGCAGGGCTGGCCCCGTTCGGGGCTCTTCCCGTGCCAGTCCCGAACCCTCCCTTCCTTGTATCGGAGCTCCAGACCGTATGCCCTGGAAAACTTCTTGCCCTGTAAGACAGGGTTGCCAACTCCCGTTTGGGACATTCGGGGGCCAAGCCCGGGGAAGGGTCTCGGGGTGGTATGATGGCATAGCAGGCATTTTCTCTAGGCGAGCGGGTCCCTGTAGTTTGGAGGCCACTTGTGATTCCGGGAAATCTCCAGAGCCCACCTGGAGATTGGCAACCCTACTTCAGGGTGCTATTGGGCTCGAATCTTGCTCAGTCCTAAATGCCTGCTCCTTCCCTTCCAGTCCACAGTTTTGCCCAAACCTTTCTTCTCCCATATCTAACACACACACACCCCCAAGTTTTGCAGATTCAGGTCTGGCATACTATGGGGTGAACCCTGTTGGTGCTCCCTGTAACCATCCTTCTCTCCTGCCTTCATTTCCCCGCTCCTTGTGTCTCTGCTCTGGACCATATTTCCCAGTTCTGCCCTGCAGTGGGAGTCTCGAAGCCTGCCGATGGCATTGCCTACAGAGCCAACATCACCACCCCCTTTCTTCTCTGTTTGGGGGCCCCCACCAGCCCCATATGGCTTATGGCGAAAGGGTCACTCATGCCTCTCTTTCGGCTGCGCCTAGAAAGGTGCCAGCCCCCCTTTTCTCTTTGTGCCCCCCCCGCCCCCCCCCCCCCCCGCAATTTCTTGTCTGCCTCTCCTTGCCCACAGAGGGATAACACTTTGCCCCTCTGGCAAAGGTATCTCTGGCCAGCAAAAGTTGCTGCCCCAGTGAAAATTAGGAAACTGGTGTGTGTTTTTTTAATTTGTCCTATTCAAAGTTGTGGTTCCGCAGGACTTTTAGCTGTTTTTGTAGCAGACTAATCCGGTTACTGGCTGGAGGGTTTCCTCGGGTGGCCTCCTCACCCTGCCCCGCCCCATTCTGCATAGTTGCTCGCCCCACCCCTGGAATATCCTTCCGCCCTTCTACTCCATCTCTGCAGTCTCCGTCGCCACCCAGTGCCTGTTTCCGTGCCCTTTCGTCCAGATTTCCTCTGCAAATAAATTGTAATTGCTCAACAAACCCCACCTCGGGCCTGTCCTTGCTTAGAGAAGAGAAACACTGTGCTTTGTCTAAGCATGTGCAATAAGTTGGGGTACACTGTGGTGTGGAGAGGTGCTTGCAGGAGAGGGTTAGGGAAGGGGTGTGCTTTCATTTTTACGCCTGTGGTTCCTCTTTCAACCAGGCTGTTCTTTTCCCCCCTCCCCAATTGGTGTGGGTTTTTTTGCATCAGTTTGGGGAAAAATCCCCAGGATGTGAGGGGTTGTAATAGGAAAGCAACCGCACCCCATCTGCCTGCAGATATTCCCCGGTAAGAGCTGCACCTTCTCATTGGTGATTTTGTTTGAGATGTTGGATCGCTGCCTTTAACAGCAGCAAAAGTCTGGGACTCTTCTGTCTTGAAAAGAGGTGACTGAGAGGGGACATGGTAGAGGTGCACAAAATTATGCTCGGAGGAAAGAAAGTGGACAGGGAGAGCTTTTTCTCTCTCTCCTAAAATACTAGAAATTGAGGGCATCCAATGAAGAAGAAGGAGAAGAAGAGAATGGATTTATACCCCGCCCTTCACTACCCAAAGGAGTCTCAGAGCGGCTTATAATATCCTTTCCCTTCCCCTCCCCACGACAGACACTCTGTGAGGTAAGTGGGGCTGAGAGAGCTCTGGAAGAAGTACTCTTGCCAAAACAGCTCTGAGAGAACTGTGACTGACCCAAGGTCATGCCAGCAGCTGCATGTGAAGGAGTGGGGAATCCAATCCGGTTCTCCCAGATTAGAGTACGCGTTCTTAACCACTACACCAAACTGAAGCTGATGGACGGTAGATTCAGGACAAACAAAAGGAAGTACTTTTTTTAAGCATAAAGGTAAAGGTTCCCTTGCTCGAAAGCCAGTCGAATCCGACCCTAGGGTTGCGGTGCTCATCTCCGTTTCAAAGCCGAAGAGCCAGCGCTGTCCGAAGACGTTTCCGTGGTCATGTGGCCGGCATGACTAAACACTGAGGCGCACGGAACGCTGTTACCTTCCCACCGAAGTGGTACCTATTTATCTACTTGCAATTTCTTGCTTTCGAACTGCTAGGTTGGCAGGAGCTGGAACTAGAGACGGGAGCTCACTCCGTCATGCGGTACACTCGGGTCTCGAACTGCTGAACTACCGACCTTCCACAGCCTGCAGTTCAGCATCTTAACCACTTGAGCCACCGCAGCTCCTTTTTTGAGCATAAAGAGTGATTAAAATGTGGAATTTGCTGCGGGAGGATGCAGTGATCGCCACAGGCATAGATGGCCTTAAAGGGGATTAGACAGATGCATGGAGGAGAGGTCTATCAGTGGCTACAGGCCATGGCGTCTAAATGGAACCTCCATGTTCAGAGGCAGACAGGCTGTGAATCCCAGTGCCAGCAGGAGGCAACATCAGGGGGAGACCTCGGCCTCTCTGTCCTGTGGTCGGCCGTCCAGAAGAACTGGTTGGGCCCTGTGCGAGGCAGGGTGCTGGATTAGATGGACTATCCATTCAATCCAGCAGGGCTCTTCTTACATTCTTAATGCCAGGCAGAAATCCAAGCCACTGTTCCCACCACGGAAACACACCGTTGACTGCATCGCTGTGTCTCTCTTGTTCGCTTCTTCAAGCCGCCTTCCCCTCTGCCTCACTGAACAAGGACCTGCTTTCAGTTTAAAGGGTGCCAAAAAAGGCTAACGTCTCTTCCCAGAGCCGCTCTGCAGTGCCCTCATGATTGTCTCTGGAGTTGTGTTTGCATTTGTCTCTTAACGGGAGATGATCTGCACAGATTAGGGGGGGTGGGATGAAACAGGACTTCAGAGGCTCACGGTTCCATCTGCAATAAGATCTTGAAAGCCGCCTTATGAATGATTGGATCACATAAGGAGCTTATTGCAGAATGGAAAACTGCATTATAATGTGCAAATCTAACAGCGGGTTTTCTTTGTGAATCTGAATTTGTGCCATGGTGGTGCTGTCTCTTAATTTAAAGACTGCGGCTGGGGTCCAAAGGATTGTTTTGCTTGCCTGGTGGGATTTGTTTCCCTCTTTATTTTGAGGCTGGGTTGCTCGCCGCTTTTGAGACTCTGCTCGGGTCCAGAACTGGGTTGCAGCATGACCCAGCGGGGAACTGTCGGGGCACAAAGTCAGAAATGGTTGTGTGATTTTGTGGATCCTCAGTCTGTGTTTTCAGACTGTGCGGGACCCATGAAGCCTGAGAGCCACTGTAGTGCCGTGGACAGAGTGGCAGACTAGCGCACCAGGTGACCCAAGTCTGAATTAGAGATGTGAAGGCCAGGAAAAAAAACAGAAAAGCTCGGGGGGAAACCATTTCCCCCCGTTTTTTTCCTGAAGCTTTTTTTGTTTTTTTCTGAAAAATTGGAAAAATTGAAAAAAGAAAAGAAAAGAAATGATTATGGAACGTTTTATTTTAACATGATGAATAAAATATTTTAAGACAAGGTCTTCAAATATTTTCCAAATCATTTCTAATATATATCAGATTGATCTAATTTCTGTGCACTGAGGACAAGCAAGTCCTAGGTTACAAACTGAACTCTCCAATGCAAGAACAAGATGCATTTCTTCCTTTAGGAGGTGCTATTGTCACAAGAAAAGAAAAAGGTTTCAGTTTTGTTTTTGCATGTGGGCGGGTATTCTGTTTGTAATAATTGTTTGGATACACTATATTTTTAATATGCTAGTTGTGATAATGTCATGCCAAGTAAAAAGGTCCATAGTCATAGTTTATGTTCCTAAAGTAACAGAATGCCTTTCAATCTAGAAAAGACAAAAGAAATGCAAATACAGCATTTTTTTCAATTTTTCCGAAAATTTCCGTTTTTTCCTGGAAAAAAATGGGGGAAAACTGGGTTTTTTTCCGAACTTCAAAATTTCCAGAAATTTTACATCTCTAGTTTGAATCCCCCCCTCTACTGGGGAGGCTTGCTGGGTGACCTTGGTGTTGCGCGGTGCGCACTCGGCGGCCTGATGCCAGTAGAAGTTACTTGCCAGCCTCTAGGACTATTTCAGCCACACCAACCTTTCCAGCCACACTCCAGCAGTCAGCACACAAGGGCTCAGCCTGGCCAACCTCACAGGGTTGCTGTGGTGGGGAAATGGAGGAAGGGAGAACTGTGTTGTAAAAAGCTGCCTGAAGTCCCAACAGGGGAGAAAAACAGGCTATAAATCAATACATGCAAAATGCCCGAGAGACTCAGCTCGTCTTCTTTGCCTTCCAGTACACCCTCTTTGGCAGAGCCCCATTACGATTCCCGGAGGGAGTCGCCAGTCTCCGATCAACATCCAGTGGAGAGACAGCGTTTACGACCCTCACCTTAAACCCTTGGAAATACGCTACGATCCAGAAACTTGTCTTCATATGTGGAACAACGGGTACTGCTTCCTGGTCGAATTTGAGGATTCCACAGACAAATCATGTAAGTGCAGCTAGAGTCGGCCTTGGGAAGCGCAGGCACAGCGGTCAGTTGCAGGAGGCGTGCCTAGGAACCAGTCCCTTTGAACTGGCTCCCCGGAGAGCCGGTTCCTAGCTCTGAAAATCCAAGCGCTTATATACAGCATGGACGGTCATTTGGTGTGTTATGCTTGAATTGTGAGTTTTAAGTGAAAAGCCAGATTTTAAATGTGAGCCTGGTGGGGCAGGAGGGTTTTCCTGCGTGACTTTTCTCAGCCTCAGCACCCTGTCTAAGCTGCAAATCAAAGCTGTGCGGCCTTAGTTAGCACGCTGGAGTTTGGTAACCCTTTGCAACTAAGTAAAAGAACATAAGAGACGCCAATGTTGGATCAGGCCAGTGGCCCATTCAGTCCAACACTCTGTGTCACTCAGTGGCCAAAAACACCAGGTGCCATCAGGAGGTCCAACAGTGGGGCCAGGACACTAGAAGCCCTCCCACTG